AGTGTTGTAGATGGTTGCTCCAGAAACGTTGATTAGCCAAAGAAATAATAGTAATCAGTTGCGATAATTGTGGACCACATAAGTCGTAGTGGCGATTATTAATGACGTTCGTAGGCTGTGTTCCGGAGTCGAGAGTTGCGCAAGCTGTGAATCATGTAGGCTGTAAGGACGAGTATGAATGATGCCGTAAGGACAAGTATGAATGATGTTTGTATGCTGTGGAGGCCGGAGTCGAGAGCTACATGAGCTGATGACCACGTATGTTATTATCGGCACTTAGATTGTATTGACGAGCTCTTGTCCCACAGAAGGGAAATGATTATTGGATTTTTCAAGTTATAACATTGACTGAAGGTGTTTGCTTGGTGGTGGTCGACGACGGTCAGCGGTGGACAACGGAGGTCAGCAGCGGTCAACGGTGATCGACAGCTATCGACGATGGTCAATGACGGTCGACGGTGGTCAACGACAGTAAACTGTGATGCTTAAATGTAGCTCCTCCTCAAGACTTCAGGTTCTATATCTAGGCTTCAGTTCTCTCTCATGTGAGATGTGTGGGTCTATTTATAATGTTTTGAATGATATTAATATAAAAATATGATTGTTTTGATCAAATGGTTCGGATAACTTCCTTCAATTAGATAGTGTTTAATGGATGTTTGGATATCTTAATGATGTCAGAATTGAGTGATCTTACTCTTTTTGGATTCGTCTTGTCGAGATGCTCGATTCGACTATAAAATTGCTAGATTTGACGACTGTTTAACCTTCCAAAAGTGTCCAAAAAACTTCCAAGAATGGTTTAATGACTTGACCTGGGCTTGATTTGAATCAGATTGGAATCGAATTGTACTGACTTTGATATCATTAGTGTCGTCTCATCGAGCCGGTTAGTTTGACAATAAGTTTGTTGAAATCAAAGCTCTAATGAGTTTTTATCAAGGTTTGAGCATCCTATGCTTAAAATATTATCTCAAGATCTGTGTCATGCTTTGACATTTATGACGGATAATGAAAATTTGTTGGTGGTGTATCACTATATATGGTTTGATATTATTCATTTTGAATAATAAAATTGATGTGTGCGGAAAGATTTGTGACGATGGAGTGATTATTTAGTGTCTTAGAGTTGCACAAAAATTCTGCACTAATATAAATAAAATGCTCGACATGATGCTCCACTTGCACAAAAATTCAACACTTATTTAGTGTCTTAGCAATTTTCAAAGTCCTTCGTTACACAATGTTTAGCACAACACGATGCTTCATATAATGCTCCACTACTCCGTGAAATTGGCCACTACTTCTTACGATGCTTCGTTGCTCTACAAAGTTAGTCGCTACTCCGGATAACACTTCGTTACTCCATAATGTTGATAAATGTTCAACAAGGTGCATCATTACTCTTCAATTTTGCTCGCTACTTCGTACGCTGCTCCGTCACTTTACAGCGTACGACACAATTCCGCAGAGTACATCATGATTCAACAAGAGCTTCGTTGCAATGAGTAAGGAAGCAGCTAACTAGCGGTGATCAGATGCATCAGGAGCAGGAAGCGTTCACATGAAACTTCAGAGTAGGAAAATGGACTTCGACTTCTCTTCTTGATTCTCCTACAAGCTCGGGTCTTTGTCCTCTTTCATGAATGGGGTAGGGCTCCATTTATGTAATATATTTGACCTTCCAATAATGCACTATAATCTTCTTAAAATGGTTTAACTGGTCAATCTGGCCTTGTTTTGTATTTGATTGGACCAACGTTGGTTTCATTGTGTTTGTCTCGTTGAGTTAATCAGTTTGACTATAAGTTTACTGAAATTAGAGTTCTGGATAATTTTTAATTGAAGTTTAAATGTCTCTTGCTAAGAGAATTGCTTCAAGACTCATGTCAAATGAAAAATTTTGTTGACGACGTATCAGTTGCCCCTTGTTTTCAGACAAAACTAGCTTTGATGCTTGAAAATACAAAAAATTTAGATTTTTTATTTTTTTTTATTTTCTTCTTCTGTATTTTTTTTTTGCTTTTGTGAGTGTGCGTGTTTGTGTGTTAACAACAACACGTAACCCATTTGACAAGCCACACAATTTTCCTTTGCTAAGGTCTCGAGTTTGAGTCCTGACTTTCGTAATATTAATGATTTCGGTAAACTTTATACTATTTCTTGGAAGAATTTCACTCTTCCCAAACATTTGGGGGGATTGGGCCTTCCCTCTTTGGACAATATTAATATTATGTATAAAAAATAAAATTATTTGGAAATGTTCTAATCATCATTCTTACTTGAAAGATTGGTTTTTTTTATAATTATGGTTCGTTTTTACATGATGTTAATTATTGTTCTTCTTCTTTCTGGAAATAACTTGTTAGAATTGCCTCTAAATTCAAATATTATTTTAACTTTAATGTTACTAGAATTCTTCTATGTTCTTTTATTTTGATGCCTGGTTTAATGATAATTTTCTTTTGGAAACTTATGGGGATTTAGTTTTTGATTGGTTTAGCATTCCTTACAATTCTAAACTTAAAGAGGTTATTTACAATAATACTTATAACTTGTCATCAACTCAACTTGTGCCTACTGTTTGTATTGATTTAGTTAATAAAATTGTTATTACTAATTATATGACTTGTTCTTTGAAGAATGGTCTAGTTTTTTCTCATAAAAACGTTTATCACTCTCTTTACACTCCTCATGCTTCTGTTAATTGAAATAAATTGGTTTGGTTTAAATGTTTTTCTTTAAGATATGCTCTTCTTGTTATGAAAGGCTTCAAAACCTCAGATGTTCTTACTATTAGAGGTTTTCATTTTAATCGTATTTATATTTTAATAGCATTGAATCTCATGATCATTTATTTTTTGAATGTCCTTATTCTCATGGCCTTATAAAAATTGTTTATTAATTAGTAATATTTTAATTGCCCCTTGAAATATATTTCAAGTTATTTATTATGCTGATAACTTCTCTTGTAAGATTTCTTAAAGATTTTATTTATTAGCTTTACAAGTTTTTACTCATGTGATTTGGTTTGAAAGGAATTATAGGGTATTTCATAACATTTCTAAATCTATTGATTTTAATAAGCATTATATTCATTGGTTAATCGATTATAAGTACAGGAAATGAAAGTCTAAAAGTGATATCCCTGATTTTATCATTCGTTTTTATAATTTAGGTTGATTTTTATTTTTCTATTTTTTGTCTTTACTTTTAGAGATTGTCAGTTAGCTTCCTTTATTTTGTTTTTTTTTCCCATTTTGTTGTTTCCTTTTTGGTTGTCCTTGGGTTTTTGGCCATTTCCTTTAGTTTATGGCCTTGTTTAGGTTCATGCTTAGAGGTGCTCTTTCATTCTATTTTTCTTTGTTATTCTTTATCTTTGGTTAATGTTTTTAGTTTTGTTTTGGTTGCTGAGCTTATGTGTGGCTGGTCTGCTTTGCTTTGTTTCGACTCATATTTGTTTGTTTCAGTTAGCAGTTAAATTGTTTTACTTTGTGGCTCTGTGATAATCTTTATTATGTTTTGGTGATTATAGTTTTTTTCAGATCTTTTTATTCTATGTTTCTGTTTTGGTTATTGTCCTGTCTTTGTAATTTAGATTGCTGATGTCACTGAATTTTTTTGAGGTTGTTTGCTTTTTCTGTTTATATTTTTCTGATAATCTCAAAAACTCTCTTCATCTTTACTTTTATGGTCTTGTCCTTAGGTTTAAGCTATGATGTGCCCAATCATTCTTTGTTATTTTACCATTATATAGTGTCTATATATTAGTATTCTCTTTTTTATATAAATCTGGATGAAAATTTACTTTTCAACTATTTTTTTTGGAAGAATTTATGCTAAGATATGATCTCTTTAGTCTCTAGTCAAATTTCATAGCCTTGTTATGGGCTTAGTTAGAATTTTGCTCCTTTTTACAGTTTCTATTTTCTTCTTATACGATGTTTTGTTTTTCTTTACTTCCTTTTATTTTTGTCTGCCTTAGGTGTGCTGTTATTTTTTTTATAAGCTTAGATACTCATTTGATCCTTACTTTTTTTGGCCTTGTCCTTGGTTTAAGCAATGATGTGTCCATTCATTCTATGTTATTTTGCCATTTTTTACTGATTTTTTTTAGTATTCTCCTTTTTATGTAAATTTGGATGAAAGTTTACTTTTCAACTATTTATTTTGGAAGGATTTATGCTAATATATGATCTCTGTAGTCTCTGATTAGAATTTCAGTCTTGTTATAGGCTTAACTGGGCTTAATTTTTATTCCTTTCTACTTATTCTCGTTTCTACTAATATGATGTGTTGTCATTCCTTGCTATCTTTTAACCTTGTTTACCTCAGGTGCCTTGAGGTCCTTGAGGTTCTTTGAAGACCCTTTCCTCAGTTATGGAGATTGGATTTTCAAGCTTTTCAAGTTCTCTCTGGTTGTTGTCTGATTCTTTGGCTTTGTGAATCTATGGAAGCTTTTTTTGAGCATGAGGATTGGATTTTCAAATTATTCATTCCCTTTTGATTTAATGAATGTCTACTTTGAAGATGTTGGGACTTTAGATGTTTACTAGTTCGTATTCATTGTTTTTGTTTGTTTTCCTCTCTTTTCATATAATTTTGTTTATTTTCTTGTATCTATATTTTTATATATTTTTTTATGTTAATATTAGTTCCTCACTTTTTCTCACAAAAAATTAATTTATTATTATTATTATAAATTAGGGACGTAGATAGATTCATAGATCCTCAGCCCAACAGTAAATTTTTTTTTAAACATTAAAAAAATAAATTTAATATGAATGATTTAATATCGTAAATGGCATTAAAAATGATAAAATCTTGCCGATATAATACAATAAAGGAAGCAACGCACATCGCCACTCGTGTACGTGTCGATCGACAACCACGTATCGGATGGCAACGGGTAGTTCGGGCAGCCCCGTGAACTGACCGTGGTATTTGGCGAATAAATAAGATGGCCAACGACGACTGCGTTCCTTTCTCTTTCCCCTAGATGCTAATATATTCTTCTTCTTCTCCCTGAAAATTCGGTGGTTTAAACCCGTAGCGGTATTCCGGCGACTTGTTCTGTAAAACCTTGCTGGAGATGATGGTCGAGAACGATAGGAATAGGGATCCTCCATCTTCGATAGAAGTTTTGAATCTGGTCGCTCACCGGTTTTCATGGTTGATTTGTACGTAGACATGTCCGGCGAAGACGAATCCGATAATAAATGCCGGCACGCTCGACGCCGGAGGATCGAGATAAGAAGGAATGTGAACTTTGCTGGCGAGGCTTCGCAGTCAGTGGCGAGCCCCCATCGGGCGGGAAAGAGGTTATACACTAATGAAATGGATGTTTCAGGTGTTGAAAAGAGAAGCCCGACCGCGAACACAAACTCGCACTCCCGGGCGCCTACGGGTTTTTCCTTCGTTGAGTCATCCCAGTTCTCTGCATCTTCTTCCGTGGATGACGTTGAATCGCCAGTTGTCGGGTCATCTTCCGGCCGGAAGCTGGAAATGAATACCCCTATTGCCTTCGGTTCTGTTTCACTAACTGGTCGTGCGCGGGAAATGGAGGACGCTGTTTCTGTCCGCCCAGGATTCTTCCAGTTCCTGGACGGCAGCTTTCCCCTACATTTTTTCGGTGTCTTCGATGGTCATGGCGGCTCGCATGTAATCTCTGCTCCAACCTTCTTTTCCTCTCAGCATCTGCGACTGGCACTCTTACTTATTTCTAAACTGATTCTACTGTCGTATTTCTGGAGTTAAAATTTTGCTTAATTTGTTTTCTACATTTTATTCAAAAGCAGCCCAGCTTCGCCCTCAGGGCTTATGAAGATGGTACTGGAAACAATATTTACAATTTAAGGAAAAAACAAGACAGAAATGATCGCCATGTTTTTTCTATTCTATATTTTGCATTTCGATCAATTTTATACCTAGTGTTTGCCCCTCGGGTTTTTTGTCATTTCAAATTTGAGCGGTCATTAAGGCTGCATTTCGTACGATAATTCTCGTGGCTTACGATCACCTGCTGCTGTTTTCAGAAAGTAACATTGGTATCAATCGATCATTGCTTTTCAACAGTTGTCCTTTTACTCCTATGCGGTGCCCATAGTCTTATTCCCAGCATAGATTGTTTGGTTCTATTCTCTTAAATGCAGGTTTCGGCTCTGTGCAAGGAGAGGATGCACTCTCTTCTTTCAGAAGAGCTAATGAGAGCGCCTGAGCATGATAAACCTGCCGATACAGAAGAGACTAGGTGGAGATCGGCGGTGGAGCGGTGCTTCGTGCGAATGGATCAACTTGCGCTTTCAGCGTGCGCGTGCGGGCGGGTGGGTGAACCACTTTGCCGTTGTGATCGCTCCGGGATCGAGTCTGAGATAGTTGGCTCAACAGCCGTGATCGCTGTGATCCGCGGCCGGCGGCCCCACC